ACTAGTGGGCTGCAATTACTTCACTTACACGATGAAATGTAAAAACTACTCTCCACGTTGGTGTATAAGGTCGTGGCATTTTTTGGAGGAGCCGGTCCAGTCCTACAACAGCAAAATCCGGCGATGGAAATACTACCATATATAAAATAGCTTTCGCTTTTAAGTTATTTAATCATCATTATTTCTGTTTGTACTCATAAATCATAAAATATGTCTGGTTAAGTATTGGGGATAAAGAGAGTGTATAGCTTTGGGAACACCTTAGTGAAATAGCGTCCCGTCTTTCGAAGCCATATATCGACTCACGTTTATAACTTATACACTAATAATTTCTTGTATTTACGCGATTACACATTATAAATGAAACTAATTTTACGGATTTATCGCGTTTATTTTTAATTTTAATTCCCGACGTTTCGAACCCTTTACAGCGTTCATGGTCACGGGACAGACTGAGGTGTTAGACGTCTGATTGTCATAGTTAACCCGGGCTACCGTCAGTTTTTGAATTATTAATTTTGTGTCCGATCTATGCAGAGGGAGCTAATTGTATCTTGTCTTGCAGTAGTGGTTCGTTTGGGCCTAGATTTAATTTTATTGATGACAGGATCCCAAGCTGATGGTAGTACCCAACCTTCTTCTCTATTGAAATTAGGGTGTTTTTTAATTTCAATAGCCTCGCGAATCATCCTTGGGAGGAATCGGTGTTCTTTTGCAAGGATCTGTGGTTTGTCAAACCTGATGTAGTGGTTGGGTCTATTCAAAATGTGCTCACAAACTGCAGACTTGTTCAATCTATTGTGTTTGATGTCAGCTATATGTTCTTTCACGCGGGTTTTTATTGCTCTTTTCGTTTGACCTATGTAAGAGAGCCCACATTCACAGTCAAGTTTGTACACTCCTGGATCTTGCAGAGGGATATTACACTTGACAGATGGTAAAAACTGACTAATCTTCTTCAGCGGCTTGTAGAATGTATTAATTGAAGCCTGCTTTAAGATATAGCCAATCTTGTCGGTGACTCCTCTGACGTATGGTAGAACAGCAGGTACTCGCTCCACTGTGGCTGGTTTCACTCGGTCACTGTGACGTAGGCGCGGTGCTCGAAGCTTGTTGTCATGCAGAACTTGCTTGACATGTTGAAGCTCAGCGGCCAGGTGTTGTTTGTCACAGATCCCTTGTGCTCTCTGAAACAAAGATTTACCCACGGTAGCTAACTGTGACTCTCACCACCATCCATCCCAGTCTGTCCCGTGACCATGAACGCTGTAAAGGGTTCGAAACGTCGGGAATTAAAATTAAAAATAAACGCGATAAATCCGTAAAATTAGTTTCATTTATAACTTATACACTTTCATCGCTGATAACTTAATGGCGCAGTTGCTAAGCTACTAGTTTCGGCGCCAGGGATTGTGGGTTCGATTCCCACACGGGATAAAAATTTGTGTGACCCACAGACATTTTTTTGGGATCTGGGTGCTTATTCTCAAGGAGGATTGACGTCAGGCAGGCGGCCGACGTAAAAACCTAGCCAAAAACAGCTTACAATATGATTCACATGTTGCGCTAACCCCGCCTAAATGGGTTGAGGATGATGATTACTTTCATCTATGATGAAATCGTCATGAATCGTCCGTGATATTTGCTATTAACCTATCAATAATTCAAAAATATCAGGTACTAGCTAAACATGATCAAAGTAATCCACGCCAAAACCTTAACTTTTAACATGATGATAATAAAAACTCTGATGATATTACGAAACGTGCCAAAGTTAAAGGTATGAAAAAATATAATAAAGCAACGACACACCTGACTCATGTAATGAAGTATCAAACACGAGATGATTGTACATCAAGACGTTCTAATAACCTTTGCAACTCCAGCAAATGTGCGCAACAAAAATTCTTGAACTCGTAACAACTACATGTATGGTAAAATAATTGCTCGTTACGAATTAAGAAATGGGAAACCAAGGCGTTAGATTTTATTTTATACGCCAAAGCAATCTCCTCACCTCGAAAATAATGCTCCCAAAACAAATTGCTGCGATTATATTAACGACACAAACGTAAAAATATAATCAAAGAGTGTGGTAGGTAGTGATGTCCTTGAAATCAATCTACTATTTGAGGTTCGAACTTATTCGTGTTTATCGGAATATTTCAGATTCTTTACGTGAAGAAATCAATATATCATTCGTGAATGCATCCTATCGTAATCCGATCTTGATACAGAGTTAATGAAATAAATAAATGTCATATTATGTCATTTTCAAAAGTTTACATTGATGGCACATAACACAGGAGTATTATTCGACTACACGGGTCGAGTTAACAATAAGCAAAAAATGCCACTTAATTAATAATAACTTAGCCAATTAATAGTGAAGTCATTGGTTAATAATTAATTAACATTTGATTATACCGTGACGGACACTACTGTAAAAGGATAGTTGAAATTTTATGGGCTTAAACTATACGACGTGGCGTATAAATCAAATAGAATATTTAAGCAGTTTATAAACTGTTATTTGCGTTTTTCTACAAAAAAATTGATGTAGCAACTGCAATTCTTTGGTTTATTAATGATGATAGTCCATTAAGTTTGTGAGTAGGGTGCGAAATTATTGTACTCGAATCCATTCTATACATTTGCGTGATATTTTTAATTGTTAATCAAGTAGAAATTAGTTAAAAAATAATCTTATGAATCAGACGTATGTACAAACATGAATCGAGGATAAGTTACAAAAACGCATGATATAAGTTGAACCAATCACATTGGCTCGTGAACTATACCCTGACGCGGAGACCTTGGGAGTGATGAAATGCTTTTATAAGTTGCTCCAGGAAGTAATGAATTATGGAATGTACTGTTGGAGTCTTCAATTCGGTTTTATTGAAAATATAATACGAATATTGTTTGAAGATATGTCTATCAGAACATTTAATATGAAATAAATATAATGGAATTAATTTGAAATAATTAGGTTATTTTACCATAAGGTTGTGTTAGTAATTTCTTAGACATTAAGTGGAAGATGTTATTAACATGTATATTTATTATGCCTATTTGATTGGTGCACGATGTTATTTAAATATTTATGTTTATTCAAATTTATTCGTTAGTATTTTAGCAATCAACAAAATAATGTTAATGAACATAGATCTTTGCAAAGACTGTCATGAAACACAATCTTGAAACCTATGCATCCACTGACAGTTTGCAGACCGGGATAAATAATGGCTTCATTTAGGATTAATATAAATGAAGTTACGGATTAATATAAATTAAGTAACTTAACATTATTTTTAAGAATGAATTATTAATACATTTATAGTAATGTAAAGTTTGGGGGACATCGGTTAGAACGGTATCTTCTTGTATATTAATGTATTATACATTTTATTTAAAAATAAAACAATTTCTTTTCTAAAATCAAATACAACCTTTCACAGAGGTCACAAACATGACGATTGGTAGAAATGGTTGAAACTTGCGCGGGACCCTAGCCTTCGATATAGTGACTGTTGCTTTATTGTAAGTAAAATTGTCTCCTTTTCCGCCTTGTAACCTTATGGGAAAGTTAAGGGTACAGGATTTTTCGCGATTGTTACGTTAAAAATTATAATTAAAATTAAAACACAGAAACTATTTTCAGCCCCGAGATTCAAACCCGCTGCCTAAGACTCAACTTGTCGACAAAAACTCATAAAAAATAAAATGCAAATGCGTTGCCACCTTTAATAAAAATGGCCCCGGCTACCTCACTGACCAGACGAAACGCAAAAGTGTAACACTTCTACTTTACGCCCGTTTTCTGAGGTCGTGGTACTTACCCGGATGGACCTGCCCATTCGTGCAACAGTTAAAATTGTTGCATAGTCCTGGCACAGCTAAATATATATATCACAAACGTTTTATTATGCCTTACAGGGATTCCACAAACCGTAGCCACTAAACCACAGCAAAGTGATATTACTTACAACTTAATATTGCGTTTCTAAATCCAAATGTAATTTAGATAACGAAGTCGTAATCGCTTGAGTTGATTCAACAATTCATGAGCCGCACAACTCACGTTATTTGGTTAACGTCCGCGAGGGCCTTTACACTGATGAATAATAAATAAATACGCATTCACATCATAATTCTTAAATTTTAATGATCTTTATCAATACCTATATAATGTAGGTAAATCGACAATTTATAACAAATGTCATCATAGAAACAAGTAGAATATAATTTAAAAAACCGAAAAACCTGACAGCGTTTCTATGTACTTTTCTATTTTGATATATCCAGCGTCACTCTCACAGTAAATACGAATCTAACGACATCTCTCGAGCTAAAATCCATCAAGCTGTTCAGGCTGCAGAGCGTGCCAAATAATTAGACATACATACAAGCATACACACTCTCGAAAAGCATAACCCTCCTTCTGGCGCAGTCGGGTAAAAAGAGCTAAAAACTTCTTGGGTCCGTAGGGATATCAGCATAATAAGTGAAACAACTGGACGCTCGAAATATTAACAGTGTAACATAAATTAAGAGTCCCAAAAAATATCATAATTTATGTTTAGTAAACACTTGTTTTTCTGCACCAATTTGCCATAATTCAAGTAAGCATTAGAAGAGAAGCAGAAGATCTTTTTTTCTTATAAGCCGACCATGTTTATGGGAATACTTTTTCATGATTACTATGTAATACAAATTATTATCACTTCTTAAAGGAAGATGTAAAACTTCAAATAATTCAAAGGACGAAATAAGGTTAGAAAAAATCAATTACGACTGTATGGTAACATGCAAGTGAATGTAATAGATGCGTGTTAAAAATGTTCAAAGTTCATTACATTTATTGAGAAAAGTTTAGGTTTCATTATAATATGAAATGAATTTTGTAACGCGGTGCGTCGAGCATATATAAGACGGAGGGAAGGTACACGGGCATCATTCGAGAAGTCACCTCCGACCCAGTGTCACACATTGCAACCATGCAGCTGGTGAGTTGACTCCTTAACAATTATCGATTGTCGTTTTTATCCGGGAAGTTCATCGATAAAAATTACTGTGCAAGCACCAGCTCTAGTCGCGAATACGAAATGCCGTTAATTGCATTAATGTGAAAAATTTGGGGTTGTTATATCTGTTTTGTTTAATATGTGTATACGAAGACCTTTGCAAACACTTTAATTTTGGAATGCATTCATATGGATTGTTTTTTTCTTTTATTTTTTTATATTTTAAATTTTTGTAAGGATCCCCCTTAAGTGTAAGTTAAATAATTATTCCTAAAAACATAACGACTTTTGTGTTTGCTTCGAGCAGATGCATCTCCAAATAAAATAATAGAAAATTTATAAATATCTACGAATCCTATGTATTAATTACGTAAATCTGTTGCATATACAAGTCATCATCTTGTGTGCAATGGATTAAGTCGCTAATTGATGCTTTTAAATATTGCTCAACTATAGCTATGAATGAAATCGTTAGTTGTATATAATCCATAACATAGAGATACGAAAAAAGTTGTTTCTTGCGACAGACGTGTGTTAATATGTTCAGACGTGTGTTAATATGTTCAGTCAAATTTATACAAAAAATAGTCTATTCCATTCAAGCAAATCTTGTATATATACCAGGTCACTGATAAGTATTAGGTACCAGGTAACTAATTGTAGTTATCATAGATGTATAAACATCCAGACTTTCCTAATGTCATTTTGTTCATCACACAATATTTTTTTCAGTATCGGGGATCGAACTCACGCACTCTGGCGCAAGAGACAGGTCCACTATCCGTTACGTATCGTGTATATCCGACACCAAAACTGGTGTAGGATCTGCTAATATTACTGTTGCTCTAGTCGCGGATAAAACCGACATCGTCCATAATGAGATGAAACGTAGATACTTGAAGAAAATATACCATTTAAAGTCCATTTCACACTACGTAAAATTCGCATTATAAATTCAGACATCTTTAATTAATATGTAGATAATAGATTTCTTGGAGTTACAAGACATAAGTGAACAAGAAATCTAAACTATAGTTTCTCGCGAACTACTCGCAGTTTTTATTGTAATTTATATAAAATAATTAATTGATTAATTAATGCAAATAATAATCAAATTGTTTTATTGATTTCAAAGTAACGCGCAATGCGCAGAGTATATCTTGATATTTCCTTTCAGTAAAACAGGGTGTTATAAAAAGCTCTCTTCAGGCTTTCTTACCTAACATTAATTAAAGACTGGCCCCGAATCAGCACGTTTCGATTTACGCAAGATACTTCACAGGCTAGATAAAGCGAACAGCATTGGAGGCAATTTTAAAACAATGCAACAAGCCGTTAACTTTTATTCGACGGTTTATTAAACGCTGCGTAGGTTTTTTGCTTGAGCGAACACAATAGCTCTGTGAAAATGGATGATTGGGGTATGCAACCAAGACGCATAGTCGTTTACTTGAAATTTATTATGTTATTTATTAAGTGGGTTTTAGGGTCAATCAAGGGGTTCAAATGACTATAGACAGAGGAAATATATGTATAAGTCGATGAATAAATGATTTAGATTTTTTAATTTTGGTCTCACAGTATATAAAATTTCTCTCGATCCAGTATAAAACGAATCAGTTTTGATAGTAGAAATTATATGATAGTCAGTCAAGTACAGAATGGTTCACTCAGAATTATTTAATGTGCTCAGTAATATTGTTTCTGTAAACCTATGTATGTTTAGACATCCAATTTTATTGTTTCGTAAAAAAAGCTTTTCAAATATTCTCATGAAATCTTTGTTTCTCCAAAGCATCGGGTAAACATAACCTTGTTTATTGTTTATTTCCATACATAATTTTTAGCAAAATAATTGTTGGTGGTCCGTTCGTGATCATTTAAATTATGAATTAGTTGACGCAGTAAGGTCATTCACACGCTATAATCATTTTAACACTGTCTTATTATTTGGATATAGCTTCGTCCCAGAAAACTCTAGTTAAAGAAAGATAAATGCGTCTTCCAGGCTATAAAGTTTTTATACCATCCCATTCTTATGATTGAGATCAAATGATAGACGAGTGTTACACATCGCGATATGAAGATAAGGATTAAACAGTACAACATCTTCAACGTTCATACTATCAAATTAAAATTTGATTCCTTCACTCAGGTACTCATCGCCACCCTGTTCGGCTTCGCCGCTTCGGCGTTCGCCCCCACCTACTCTGGACAGTCCAGCCGACCTCAGGCGGAATACGAAAGAAATGCCCGTATCCTCGCCTACGACTCTGACGTCAAGGAGAACTCGTACAAGTTCAATTATGAGACAGAAAACGGGATCAAGGCTGAGGAGCAGGGACAAGAGGTGAGCTTACATCAATTCTTGTTCTCAGATTAGATTAGATGTAAAAAGTAATTTTCTTATCTCTCTTATATGGATAAGCAGGTGTATTTAGTATATGGATACTAAACTCAACGCCTTTGTCCCAACGTAGCTTTAAGGACTGTACAAAAATTTACGTAGGTCACGAAAATATTTGCACGACGTTAGCAAGGTCCTGTTACTAATGCTTGTTAGATGAGTCCCTGATATTGAAAATATAAAAGTTCAAAAGCGAGTAGACAAAACGTAGAAGAATTTTTGCTGCTGTCAGGATTCGAGCATGCCCCTTCTTTATCACTGGTCCAGACGCTTTAGCCACTACGCCGTTTCATCTAAACATTTCAAGTTTCTTCTTAAGTGCAAAGACTAGCACTAAAAATTTAAAATTAAATAAAAACTTCATCCGATAAAGACGCTGCTTTGTCACTTTTATATTTAATATCTTATATCATCTGACACACAAAGATTTTTCCTGCTTTGACCGGCTCATATATCATGTTTGCTGCGTAAGACGGATGAATGTACGTAACTACCTCTATTGTAATTTCTATCGCTAATGGTTAAGTACGGTAAAGTTTATTTATTTTTTAAGTAAAGAGGCATTGAAACCTACAACATTCACCTTTAAATAAAAGGAGCCTGGCTACACTTACTATACGAAACGCAGAAGTACAACACTTGCACTTCACAACAGTCTTCTATGAGGTCATGGTATTGACCCACACGGACCTGCCCATTCATGCAACAGTGAAGACTGTTCCATGGCCCTGCCACGTTCATCTTCTTTTATTTGCATTCGTACATTATTATTTCACATCATCGTTCCGACAGCAATGAGCAAATATAATTGCGTAATTGGCGAGACTGCTCACGCTCCATGGTCTAGAAAAACATCTATGGCATACCGTACAAATGTCACGAGACTGCATCACATCAAAATGCTAATAGGGTTCAGAGATCGGCTGATTTATGAGAAGCATCTGAGGGCTCTAGCAATAGAGTGACCATGCATTATCATTTTGCAGCAGAGCATAAAAATAGTCTTAGCGGATAGATCACAAAACTTTGGCCGGACGCAACCGATGTAGCTTGTTTGCCTACTTATCCAAAAAAAGCTCTCCAGATTTCTTTTTGGAAGCTCACAGGAAAATGGGTAGGTCTTTTGACTTATTTGATTTCAATGGAATTATTTAAGCCAAGGTTAAATTTGTATTTTTATGCTCTGCAGATATTTGTAATATGTCAATAGGAGCCTTTAGGTCTCCAAGGGATGATTTATAACATATTTTGGATTTTTTTGGAATCTAACGTTTTGAAAATGATAAATAGCATGAAATAAAAAAATGTGATCAAATTCATTTGAACAAAAAAAATGTACGTTTACTATAAAAATGAATAAAACTGTATTTTCAAATCAAAATCAAAGTCAAAATAATTACATAATTTGGAATCCTCACTATGTTCAGTACAAATCAAGTTGAATTTACTACGAAAAAATTACCCGAACTGGTTCCCGTCCATTAAAATTACGCAAATACATTAAAGATGCTCTGATAAAAATTCCTGTGACTGTTAAAATCTATTTCTCAAGATTTTGTATGTCTTTAAACACATATATAACGTGCATATGTTTATTTATTCTAGAAGTGCTGTTGTGGGTTTCACAAATGTCGTAAATTATTTTTTATCGAAACTCCAATTGGTTGGCACATTAATTAGCATTTATTTAAATATTTTATTCCAAAGCTGGTGCAACCGTTTTTTATAGTAGCGATTAGCATTGTAATCAACTCATTATCTAATTTGTCACTCAATCTATCAAGGAATATTTTACGGTTAATGTGACGAACCATTATCTACATGAAATAGATTGTTTTAATAATAGGCTACTAACTAACCCATACATGAACAAATAATTAACTATTCTATACAACCCTCGCTTAAGCCCAAGAATTCGTTTCAAAAAGAATCCAGCCGATAAAAGCCTTGTCTAATACATTACATCGAGACTGTTCTGTTTTATTAAGTATCAAATGAACTTACAAACGGATACGTTATAATATTAGCGTGATTATATTTAAAGAGTAACAAAAACACATATCCACGTTTCGTTCATTCGTAACTGGTAATAATAGTTTTCGACGTTCTCGTATATTAGTCTGCAATCGCGAAGTTGAAAAGGGCAGTGACCAACTCTGCCGACCCACATTCTAAAGGTGGAGTTTATTTAAACGATAAGTTTCTAATTTTAGACACGAAGAAAAATAAACCATCTTGCCGAAGTTGTTTAAGTTTACAAATATTTTTGTGTAATCTTAAACAAATAAACTACGTTTGAACAACTGGAGGTTTCTTTCTTCAAGGTAACGAAACAAAATAACGTGTTGAAATAACACGTTCTTGTTTGTTATACTTAAATATTAGAAAAGATCTAGCTAGTATGAAAGAAAACACAAAACGTAAGCCGGATGTCATTTAGTCTAATTTAGTTGTATTTTACGTCATTTTCACAATTTAACTCTTACGAAAAAGGCAAGAACTGTGTTTATATATAATTAACTAATGTCTCTAAAAGTGGATTAGCCTAATATTTAAAGTCTCTTTATTTGGAAATGAAGTTTTTTGAAGTGTAATAAAGTGCTACCTTTTAGTTATTATTTCGCAATACACGAGAGACCGATGAATACACCATGACGAATTGTAAAATGACACCCAGAGAACATTTGAGAAGGTAGTCATAATCATAAACTACTGCAATGTTTGTCATTTGATCCCACGCATCTAGTAACTCACTACTGGCATTACAAAAATATTCTTAGTTTTAAATATTGCTGACGTGTACAAATATTATACATAATCAATTTACATAATGGGGTAACTCCAATAACTGTATTCAATTGAATGGAGCATAATGTTGATGTTATCGAAGCTTCAGAATCATGACTGAGAAAGTGTTATTTTTTAATTTTAGCTTTACTTATTGAGCTAAGAAGGTAGAAAAGTAAACATTCATCTTGGTCCCTCCAGGTGCAGCGTGGCCATTTGCAACAACGGAGCCTGTTGCGTGGTCCTATCACAAAATATTTCGAAAAGCACCCTTTGGTGAATTTGGAAGTAAAAGCTAGTTTTTTCCATTATTCTAACGCGGGTAAAACACTCATTCCAGGTTGAAGGCATCGAGGCTCAGGGTGGCTTCCAGTACACCGGTGACGACGGCCAGGTCTACTCCGTCAGGTACTCAGCCGGCCAGGCAGGATTCCTGCCTCAGGGCGCTCACCTCCCAACCGCACCCCCAATCCCTGAGGAAATCCTGAAGGCTTTGGAACAGAACGCCGCTGATGAAGCCGCCGGAATCATTGACGACGGTAAGTTTGATTTAGTGGCTTTTCTTTTCCGAAACGGCCGCGGCGGTAGCGTTTTGATAATTTGATAAAATCAATAACTAAATGTAATGTTCTATAGAGCTTCTATACAAGATATTTCAATTTGAATTTGAACAAATGTCCATATCTTTCCACTGTTAGGTAAACTAGAGGGAAAGTAAAAGTGCAGATTCTAACAAATTCCAACAAATTCTAACGATTCTAAAGAATATTATTACAAATCCCGTTAACGATAACTTTATTGAATAAATTTCCCGGAATTATTTTTAAACTGTCTTTCATATTGTTATAGGTAATCATTATTATATTATTTTATATTTCATACACGACACAGTTTGTTTTACAGTGAAAGTTTTTATTTTTGTAACAGGAAGTATCCTGTAAGTCGTTCGGTATTGAAAATATGGTCATAGGAATTGTGTGGTGCTTCATTATTCAACTCATAAGTGGAACTGTTTAAAACCACGTTAATTAACAATAGTCAATCAGTTGGCAGAATGTAAGGATGAGGAAATTTGCATAATACTGCTTAACTAAGAAGTCGTTATTCGTAACTCTGGCCGACATGACGTTTGATTGATTGCGCTTAAATACCATTTTGAGCACGAGCCATTCGCAATTTAAAGATGATTAATTTACTGATTACCTAATCATGCGATGAATGAGTAAAACTATTTGTGTTAATTTTATATTAGTATATTTTCATCTACAATAATCTTAGTTGACCTATTTTGTTCTGCTGGAGGATGATCAGATATTTATAAGTTCAGCTTGTGTTACTTCTTCCAAATTCTTTCATTTCACGACTCGGTTGGCATAGTTAGTTAATAGGCTTCCTCTTCATGGTCCGTTTGCAGCAAAGTGCATACAAACAATTATGTCATTATTTGGTGCTTGGATCCGCTGTTCTTGTGCCTTACAATTTCCATTATTTCATCTTTACATTTCAAATGTCTGCTGTAAATCACAGTTAGCCGAGGGTTCACGGCGTTTATCGCAGTAAACTGGCTGACCTATCACATCGTCCACCTTCGATTGCAAACAACGTTCAAATCGTCGTGTAATATCGAAATAATGGCAACTGCATCTTGATTAGAGTCGTAAAATTGAACGTGAACGAAGGAAAGATAGTTTGTCGGGTTAACACTTCAATGCTCACATCAAGAAATGACGTTTTACTGGAATTTATCTATTCGATTTTTGAAGTTTCTATTTGTCTATTACAATTTTAATGTGAATATTATAAAATTAAGAATTTTAAGAACAGCTTGACTTTGGCGGAATTGTGATAACACACAAAGCAAGCCGTTAATCAAAAAAGAAGAAGACGTTTTACTGCTTTGATATGTTGATAAAAGTAATGATTTTGAAAACTGAAGAATGTTTTATTGTGCATACGGCTTTAAAGTAACCAAACTTTATTAATAAATTTACTTGCCGATATAATACTGTTTACATTAATTATCTAAGACCATTATGGTATTTTTATCATTTATATTAGCCGTATTTATTTGCGATTAATTTTATTATTTTTAGTTAAAAACTTAAAATGTGAAATTATTGCTCCTGTTAATTCCATTATTATTCATATAATTGTCCAACGGAAATTGTAACGTCAAAAGGCTCAAGTAAACACACCGGCAAAAGATCATGGAATGCATGTTTAAACGAACACAAACGTAAAAAATCGAGTAAAGGAAAAACTAATTTAGAAACTATGATGATGTCAAAAATATATGGAAGTAATTAAGTGTGATAGGGCCACGTAAGTCTTCTCAGTTGTGAAGTAAGTATTATTGTCCGGTGAGTAAGGTAGCCGGGGTCCACTTTGTTGTTACGGTGTTGCAACTGTCAATGTTATCACTTAATTAACATCAGGTGAACCGCCAGCTCGCTAGCCACCTTCTCACATTGAAAAAAAAGTTTAGAACAAAAATTTATGAATGGCATCGTCATTAGAAGGTTTTTCCTCAATATTGACTAACGCGTTGAGAAATCTCTCATCCGTTTCACACGATCTTTTGTCCTTGCGCCGAGAATTGGGCCCGGCTGTGTCGTTACATATTGCACTGACCTTTGTGCCGTTTCACAATGACCTCTCACTTTAAATCACATTCGTTAGAGGTGGTACCAAGTGAATATACGAATTAACGTGCCTTATTCCCATAGTTATAGAGTTCACTGCAGCGCGTTAAGCTTTCTGAAAAGCTGGTTACAATCACGAGATGATTTCGATCGTTACGCAGTGGGATTAGATTCTATGTAAAGTGCGTTAGCGTCGAGATTGGCTTAAGGCAGCTACAATCGTACATTCTTGACGAATAATGAGATAAAGTTCAATTACTGATACAATCAAGAGCTACCGTTACGTGCGGATCTCTAGTTTTATTTAACCTTTAAGAACATGAAGACTTAAGTATTTATTAGCAGTGAGATAAGTCAAACAAATTGCTTTGAATACAATGGATACGAATAATAAAACGGAAGATTATTTCTGCCGTTTTAAAATTTTTCATCATAAATTTCGATCAAAGATTCGAATAAGTTTTCTTTGTACTAAATGAACGGTAGAATATTTGGCTCATATTGGTGATAAGTGACAATAAATATCGTAAAACTAACAACAATGATTTTTTCATAGTTTAATCGTAGCACTGACTTCATATCAAATTTGAAAAAGGAATTTTTTGTTGAAACAATCTATAAGTTGGCGGACATAAAAATAGATATTAACTATAATAGAAACACACACAAAAAGAAACTATTTTTTTAGAAAGAACTATACAATCCTTCAATATAAGCTTGTTTTTACATCACAGACAAGATAATCCTTAACTACCATATGTATATATGATGGTAAGTGGTTATGGAGGCGTTCGTTGCACGCACTGTATCAGGAAATATCATATCTTAAAGACGTTGCTATCAGATGAATATAGCCGCTTCATATTTTGTAATTTCAGGTCAGTACAACCCCGGCAAGTACGGCGGTGGTAACGCCGTTGCACAGCAGTACCGCCCCCAGGGCTCCGGATTCCGACAGCCCTACAAGTTCTAAGCGTCGAAGCCCTTGCCATTATCAAGTATTACACGACGACGTAATCCGAAGCTTTCGTTAAAATTCAAAGCTATCGCTAACAGCGTAAAGGTCAACGAAATGCCAAGTGCTGTACAATCAAATACGTAACAATATGATTGTATATCTTTAGTCGTTTTTAATTTTCAAGTTCTAACAATTTGTTACTTGTCAGCTATTTGAAAGTGTTGGGCTTGTCCATTTCGTTTCGAAACTTATCCATTTCAATCCAAAGATGCATCAAACGTGATCGCTCCGAATTTTTAAATGAAAGCTTTTCAATAAATCCGAGTTCACAAAACGTTTCATATAAGTACATTTAGGATGAAAGTGCGCGTGATCATTTAGAATGTAACATAACAAGACAAGAATACTGTATTATCATAGTTGTAATGATTACCAGTGAGTTATATGATTGAGACGATTATTTATTCTATGAATAAAAACTTTTTATAATTTTCTGTATTGGTGCAATTTTATTTCTTTCAACATACTTTATTACAGATTACTGATTAAAGAGGCTTGCATGAAATGTGCTTACCAGTAGCACTTAATTAAATTAATAAATAAAAATATCTCGTGTTACTCACAAAAAATTACTTATCTGGAACATGTTGTTTAATTTAGCAGAAAATATTTAACTTATTTTAGAAATAAATTATCTTATTCTTGAGGATCCTTGAACGGTTCCAATACTAAACATTAATTGTTTGATTTAAGAAGATAGTACATTAATAGATCACTTGAGTAAGAGTGAATTAAAGCAGAAAAGGAAAATGGTGGAAATTTAAATTTGAATACATTTTTATTTAAAGACAAGCAAGCGATTTTTCTCAAGCAATCTTGTCATATTGGTATAATATAGTCGAATTGTATTTAATAACTGTATCCTGTGTTGGCATTGAAATTTCCGGAGCCCGAACCTCCAGCGGTTCCAGAGCCTTGTCCAGGTCCGCGCTGATCTGGACGATATTGCCCTTAAAAATAAACAAGTACGTTTTCATTAACAAATAACAAAACCAACTTATAATATCTCACTCAAATTTTTAAGTTGTGTAGTTACTAATACTACTTATGAAATAATTAAGGTACCACATGGAAGGTTAACCGAACCTAATGCAAAAATAATTTTTAAAATCGGTTCAAGTGAAGTTATGAGGTACTGAATATAATAAAATAACAACGAAATCAGGAACTCCTTCTTTTATGAAGTCAGTAAAGAAGATAACGCTGGTACCAGAATAGAAATGCAGTAACAGAAAATATATAGGGATGAGCATAGTAGTAACAATAAGAGCAAAAGAGACAAATTAAATTGTAAAAAAACTAAAATTACTTATATATTAGAATTGAATCTTTGTCTTAATTTATTTGACAAGGCACTATAGGTCAAGACTAAAAAGGAAAGCCTTTAGTTTATAGCACTGAACATTGTAGGTTTGGACCTACAATGTTCACTTTGGAAGTGATGATGAAAATTGGATGTGTCCGTTTATCTCAACACTATCGTTTTTGACAAAGAAAGGGTAAATTAAGCAGAAAAGGGCCCAATAGTTCCAAATAATAAAAAAATCAATATAATCACGATTAAAATACCCAATAACATAAATAATGAAAGACCATTCTCGAGAACTGTTGTCACTTTAGCTTCCGCAGAAAAAGAAAGTCTAGCTTTGACTCTTAATTATCACGATAGAATTCTTCACGTTGTTATGTATTTAAAATTACCATCATCGAAGATTCCAGCAGCCTCGTCCTTCGCATTCTTCTCTAGAGCCAATAGGATAGCTTCGGGAGTGGGCGGTGCGACTGGGAGATGGGCTCCTTGGGGCTGGAAGCCACCTTCGCCAGCGGTGAACGTAATGGTGTAGACGTTTCCATCATCGCCTTTGTATGCAAAACCACCCTGGCTTTGAGAAGCATCTCCCGCCTCTTCGGCGCGTATCCCGTTCGAGGTTTCGTAAGAATATCTGAATCCTATATTGAAATCATTGACATTATAAAAACTGATAGTCAATTCGTAAAGTATTTCATATGAGGGGGCTAGTTAGATCCATTACCATTCACTCGATTGTGGATGGAAATGTTTGGGTAGATGTTTATAGATTAGTATATGCATGTTTATAGATCTTATATTCGGTATTCGTTAGTATTTATTCCAATATAATTATAATTGCGTATACGTGTAACATTAACCCTTAACAAATTTTCATTTTTCTAAGATTATAAATAGTAACCAAATATGTTTAAAAACCGTTAGTGGCTAAATGTGTAATAGGTTTTAAAACACAAGCATTTTTTACTCCAAATTAATTTGATATCGATAATTCTAGAAAGGTGATGACATACAAAGTTTAATCACTTGATTAAATGTTAATTTTAACTCTGACTGATATGGACTAAATCTCAATTAAATTAGGCATTTCTTTTATTAACTTTAGCTATAACTCACGCCTTTTTTAAATTCTATCTAACTAATCATACGATAGATATTGGTATAAAAATAAAATTTAAATAATCCTCTGATAAACAAATCAGGTCAGGTTATTGAGGAAATTCTGTGCAAATATTCACTCACCCGCATTTTTAATATGTATATATTCTGTTTGTGCGTATGTGCTATAGTGTAAGTAATCGATTAAATATTTTTTCATTTTTGCCGCGGAAGGGTCAAGCAATAGTAAAAACTGATGCATGACCCTTAGATCTTTAGATAAATTACCTCGGCCTAATAGAAGACCTACAGTACAGTACAGTATTTATACTTTTTCTTTTCTGTTTCGTTTAGTGAGTGAAGTAGTTAGAGCCCAAACTTCTTAAACAACTGCTAAGTCAATGGTTATCACTTAACATGAGGTGAACTTGTTTCCAATTATACAAATGTATCATAATGTAGATAAAGTATTGTAATTTTGTTTCATTAATTTACAGCGCTTACCGCTCTCGTTAATATCCTGGGACTGTTGTATGATTTGAGCATTCTTCTCGGCCTCTTGCTGGGGGCGTCTGTTTCCGTTGCCACCGGAACCGCCACCGGCTGCGGATCCTTGACCGAGGGCACCACCTTGATTTGGTGGCAGATAGGAGTTCGATGCCGAAGAACCGCCTTGGTTTGGCGGGAGATAGTTACTCGAGGGCAGTTTAGCTGCCATGGTGACAGTGATGATTGCAGCAAATATAATCTGGAATTAATTTTTCACTTTTAGCGATCGAAAAAGAAGCGACAGCACGGAACGGTACCAGCTCTCACATCCGCAATAATAAAACATAACTGTGGTAGGGGCACTGAACAGTTTTCGCTGTTGCACGAATGGGTAGGGCCGTCCAGGGAAGTACCACGACCTCACAGAAGACCGGCGTGAAGTGAAAGCGTTATACTTCCACGTTTCGTCTGCTGAGTAAGGTAGCCGGGGCCCACTTTGTTAAAAGGTGGCAACGCTTCTGTAACTCTACGGGTGTTGCAGATGCCCATGGGCGGCGGTTATCACCACCACCGACTAAAAGTAACAACATAATAGTAACTTAGTCCAAACAAGATATTTTCTATAAATTTGATTTTATTTCTCTTTCATTAAATAGTAAAAGATATTAGACAATACTTTACCGAATTCATAGTGCAGCTGATTCCTTAGATCTTGCAGAAGCCGGAATGCGAAGTGTGGAACTGAACTGTGAATCCGAGGAGAACTCGCATACTTTTATACGAAACCGAAAACCATCGAGATATTATTGAAATGTACATTACTGGCGACAACGATTTAACTGACCTTGACTGTTCAATTATTTTCGGAAGAAGCGTTTCACTTTCGTTAAAAGCGAGGATACGCTGGATATCAAAACTGGGTCGGGCGGACCAGTACAATTAAAATTCCCTTTAGGCTTAGTTTCGGCTAAGTTACCAACGTGAACAAGTATTTTTGTGACCCGCAAATAATTATAACTTCTTTCATTTACGCGAATGTTACACATTTTACTACTTTTAGACTTATGGATTTTACCAAGGTTTAGTTTATATTCGGTACCCAAAGGGTAAAACTGATCTATTACTAAGGCTCCGCTGTCTGTCCGTCTGTCACCATGCTGAATCTCATTAGCCGTGATAGTAAGACAGTTAAAATTTACACAGATGATGTATTTCTGTTGCCGCTATAACAACAAATACTAAAAAATAGAATAAAGAAATATTTATGTGGGGCTTCCATACAACAGACATGATTTTTTTGCGATTTTATTGATAATGGTACAGAATCCTTCGCACGCGAGCCTGACTCGCACTTGGTCGGTCATTTTAAACTTTCGACGTTTGAAATATTTTAAAACATTCACACTTACAAGCCGGACTAAGATTTCTGACGCCCTGGTGTCATAAGATAGGCTAAAGTCAGATAAAAAAGAAATAGTTAATAGCAGATAGTTGATAGCAGGTAGTAGGTGTTCCGGTTTCCGAATACCATTAAATCTAGCCAATCTAGTGCCTACTAAATCTAAGCGGGATAATAACAGAGGGGAAAAAGAGCAATATGAATTCGCAAACCCTATTTAGAAATCACTTTATATAAACTCCCTTTACTTTTCTACGTCTGAGCAGTGTTTGTCTTGAGGCTGGGTCATCCGGTTTGTGAACTTATTAAATGGGTTCAAGTCCGCTTACATAGATGCGGCATACACTAATGGCTTCCTTAACTCAGATTTCTCATGTGTAAAAACAACTATTGCATTTATATTTTTACTTCGGCAAACACTAAATTCTCGTAAAGTCCTGCCTCATATTAAAGTTACGTTTTTCCTTAAATGCTACAATAATTTTAGATTATAGTCGATTTTTACGATTCGGTTATTGCAATTGATAAGTTATTTTTGTTTTATTTTCTTAGTGGGCGAAGCGCAAGCGTTTAGTGGTTCACCTGATGTTACTACGATTGATGGACGTCCATATATCCGTTGTATTACCGTTGCGCTGTTAAACTTTTATTATATAGGCCTCAATGACGAAATACAAAAGTAAAATTCGTAATCTCCAAATCAATCTGCTGCCGTGCTGTGGCACTTTCGCGAAATAGATTGCCTATGCAGCTTAAGTAACTACTATACTACACTTTTATACGTGGTGTTGTATAATTCTCTATTTAGTTTTCTAATATAGGTAAACTTTATTCAGAAAAAGCCAAACTACATTTAAATTTATTGCTGACCCCCACACTAGGCAATGCCTTTCCTATGGGGGTTAGTTCTTGACGATTTCCAATATAGTGCGGCGTTTGTAGCAATTTTTAGAAATGCAAATGAACTTACAAATAATCACTTAATATTTAAAAAAAAGAAAAAGCATTCGCAACAATTAAACAGAATAGTAACAAATTGGATATATTTAGCCGTATACAGTATATTTTGTCTTGTTTTATAACATAATATATATAATATATTATGTTATAAATCAAGAAAAAAATTAGGTAAGATTATCATGTAGGTGAAACAAGAGATGGCCGCTCGTTCACATACATGCTTTAGAAGATAAAAACTGATTATTTATGATTGACTGAAATTAAATTGCGAAATTGCGAGAAGAGCACCCAGATTCCATCAGTTTTTGCTAAACGCAGGATTAGCCATTTAGAAACTGAATCGAATTGTTAAATAAAATTAATTTTACAGATTTTGTATTCTAGATCTGACCCGTAACCATAGACACTGTAAAGGGTTCTCGATAAATCGTAATTTAATCGAATCATTAGAAACACACGAGGCATCAGCTTAATTCGTCCACCCAGACCGCCTATCAATAATTTCAACAACACCTGTAAGGTTGTCAAGTGCGTTGCTAAGCATTAAAATATTTGGGCCCTCCTGGCCTACCAGATGGAACACACTAGTATAATACTTCCTCTTCACTTTGGGCTTCTATAGGCCATGGTACTTTGATGAGTCTTTTCATTATTGCAAAAGCAGAAACTGCTGGAGGGCCTTCTTCTTCTTCTTTTACCTAGCATTAATTCCGGCTATTGCCAGGGTCTGCTTCCTACTTAAACTTTGCCCAGTCTTCGACATCCTTAGGGTCAGTCCATTGGCTCTCATGTCCTCTTTCACGACTACAGTAAAAATATTCTTTAATAAAATTAATGTTCCTACATATATTCATAATTTTCCTAAAAATATTAGTCCTAAGGATGTGGTGAAGCTCTAGACACATTAGAATTTCCTAGAAAATCATACTTGTAATAAATTTATGATGAAGTAAATAATCGCAAACCAGGTAAAAAAACCTAATATTCGATTGCTGTTGATGTTGATATTGTATTAAGTGTCTTAAAATTTTTATGTATAATAATATTCGTTCATACAATTTCTACCCGGATCGTATCTGAACAGATGTAGAAAATAATGGATCTATAAGAAAAACCTTAATTTAATAAAAAGAGATAGATAATGCTGGCTTTAAATTTGTGAATTTATAATGATTAAACGATCTTACATTTGTATTAAGGTATTTTTAAACATGATAGTTATTATCTTAGATTTTCTGTTATCAAGTTTATTTTAACGCCATCTTACGACTAACAGTTACATCCTCTCATCTAATAATAATGCCTCGTTTAACCGCACAAAGCACCAGAGCTAGTATAAGTCGTTTTAAGTTTATTTTGTTATATTTAACCTAAGCTAATATTATAAAGAGGAAAGATTTGATTTTTTGTTTGTTTGTTTGTATACTTAGATAAAATATAATAAACCTGGTAAAGCTCAATGTGCAATGTTTTACGCAATTCGGTTAAAGTAATATTTAAGTCAATTAATGTATGCAATCTCTGAAAATTCATGTAATCTATTGATGCAGTTGTTAAGGCTCTTCTTCAGCGCCGCGGGTCTAGTGTTCGATTCCCACACGGGACAATTATTTGTGTGCCCACAGATAATTGTTCCAGATCCGGGTGTGTATTCCCAATGAGGATTGAAGACAAGCTGGCGGTCGATCGGAAATAAACCTAGTCAATGCCATTGACAGCATTATCGCTGTTTTGCACAAAATGCACGATATGTTTGTGGGATGAGGGCAGGAGAAAGAATAGTTTAATTTCAAACACTGGTTATTTAATGTTCGGTTATAGCGGTTAGTGATGTAGGGCCATAGCAACTGTGTCATATCGCGACAGTTTACATTGATCTTGATATGTGGCGGTTTCCTTGCTACTAACATACTGTCATCGTTTCTTTCAGTTATAAAAAGGCTTATTATAGTACAAATGAATGACAAAAAAGAGGATACCTACGGAGTTTCTTTCGCCTGTTTCTTCTCCGCTAGAGGAACCTCATTACGAAACGGTGGTAGATTTAAAAAAAAATATGACTATCGATAGATGAAATCTAAGTTTCTTATATCGATTAACAAATGATTTCTGATTTTTTTTATTTTGATTTAAAAATATGAGACATGATAGCTCAGCGTTCGAGCCTTTAATTGAATATACTCGAGAAACAACGGTTGCGTTTCAATTTTACGTGCTGACTTATATGTACTTGGTGTTAAAGGATGGTGAGGAAACCTGCAGAATTAGAAATAATAGGTGCAAAAAAAATTCGAAGATATGTGAATTCCGCCAATCCACAGGACCCCATGTGTATGGAGTTAGTGGTAATGTTCTTTATTAGCGTACACGTGTAAAAATTCTTTGTAATTTTGTTTCTTAATAATCTTTTCTTGCTTGAGGTGAAATAGGGATATTGTTAATACTTTCATTTTTTATTAATTATTTGCAATGAAACTAAGTTTGTTTTAGCGGCAGATTTCCAGGCTTCTATTAAGTATGCAATTCTCGCATTTATCAACGTGCCATGAAAAATCACGCGCACCCTACTTGAAATGCAATTTTAGATTTTTATTAGTACACCCAACACTGGTACTTGTTGCCCAGCAGTGGGGCACGTATAGGCTGATGCTTTACTTTTACTTTTAGTTTTTTTTTATTTATTGTACACAAAACACAAGATACAAAAAAAATAATGAAAATGAAAATAATGTACAAAAGGTAAGCTTAACTCAGTACATGAGTTCTCTGCCAGCTAACTTTTACTTTTTACTTTACTACACACCCTGCTTTGCGGTGTGTCAACAAATTGGTCCATTTCACGTTGCAATCTTTGGCAGATTCGTTAAAGTGGATCAACAGATCTATCAGGATCACAAATATCCGCAGGCAGGCACGGGATACCTTAGCCCTATGGCTGTATCCCTATACTATAAAGTCTTTTCTACTCCTTCTTTTAGAATTGGAGCAGTTTTCCCGGAGTTTATAGACGTAATAATAATGTATATAATTATATCTCTCAAACTGTGGCAGTTTGTGGGGGAGGCTTATGTCCAACAGTGGGCTAAAACAGACTGAAGTGATAATTATGATGAACTCATCATAATCATCACTTGTAAAACAAGTGGATTAATAAAATTCACCTAATCTATAAAGTAAGATAGATCCCGTACAGTTGTCAGGAAATATGTGGGGCATAAAGTAAATCATCGTCATATTTGGTGCCCGTGTCGCTAAAATGAAACTCAGATAGCAAGACTACAATGTATATTCAAAAATACATGAAAAATTGTGCCTGCTACTTTTATTATTTTATTTTATTTTAAGTAGAGCTCTGGCAGCAATGCAACTTTATTCAGAGACTTTACAATGTGGTAACAATAGGGTATTGTAAGTAGTAAATTATAGTTCCATTGAGTGGGGTTTGTATTCACGCATCCATTACCCTACCCCTGAGCTACCAATGCCCTTAAAGCGAAATGTCTAAGGACCGTTTGCAACTTATCATCAAGTTGTACCTCCGCTGACCGGTCTGCTCAACGGACCCCTCATTTGTGTAACATTGTAAGCTAGCAGTTATGACTCCATATGAAAATTTTAGCGAGTCGACCCACGGGTCAAACCGCTTTTCTAATTGGCTCTATAGCATGTATTTGAAAAGTCTGATTGGTGGCTGTTACAGAAGCATAGTAGTTATTGAAATTGAATCGATTTACCCGATAACTGTTACAGACGGTCGACTGTATCCGCGATCTGGTCAAGTATAGGATCTAGTTATTTGCAACACCGAGATTGCTGATGTTAGAAATGTTTACTGATTTATAAATATCCGGTAGTACCATAATTCTATTATAATTTTATGGGAGAGATTGGCAAATGAGCTGACGGTTCACCTGATCTTAAGTGATAACTGCCGCTCATGGACATTCGGAACACCTGTAGGGTTGCAGATGCGTTGCCACCTTTTAATAATGTGGGCCCCGGCTACCTCACTCACCAGACTAAACGCAGGGATGTAACACTTCTACTTCATGCCGGTCTTCTGTGAGGTCGTGGTACTAACTCGGACGGACCTGCCCATTCGTGGAACAGCGAAAACTGTTGCGCCACCCAAAAGTAAAATATTCAATAGAGTTATTGTGTGGTGAAAAATGAAAGAACCAAAGAACACCACTTGATGCTGACACGAATAACAATAGGAATATTAAACTCTTTCATGTTTCTTAAGTCTTAATACTAATTTCTTATTAATGTTTATGGTTAAGCCCTAAAGTATTAACATTTTTTAAGAAAACTTATCATAGTTTCCGAGGCAATTTTGAGAGGTATTGCGACACTATACAATTAGTCTCGCAAGAGAGTATAGTTTGTCGTGATACCTAGTCTATATTAAAACAGCTATTAATGTCAATCAATTATTTTTAACAATAAGACTGAGTTCTAAGAGACTAATATAATAAGACTGAGTTCTTTTACATTCTAATGTCATAAATTAGCCGAATTACGTCAATTTGTTGTTTATTACATTCCAATCTGTGCAGAGATTATGGTATCTTGAAAACTTTCAGAGTTGACGTATTTAAATCTCATTTTAAAGGTAACGGGGTCCCCTCATCCTTATTTTTATTAGGATGTTTCTATATTATAGGGATATTAGACTTTACAAACTGTATAACTTTTCTTTTATGGCGGATTGAATTTTTTTTTTTTTAATATTTTTTATTCGATAAATAGAATAGAATCAATAAGTGCCTTTATACTACTTTGTGGCATTAAGGTATTGAATATCCTTTTTACATAAGAGTCATTAAATAATTTTTATAACTTGCGACCCGATAATGAAATAGCTATGCGATTGCATCGTTCTACCAAAAATAATATTTATAAATAAGTAATTGTTATAACTGTGTTCATGCGATGATACCAGTGCTAAATATATTTAGAAACGGTGGTAGATTTAAAAAAATGACTATCGATAGTTGAAATGTATGTTTCTTTTATTGATAAATTGATTGACTGATTTGATTAGATTTGATTTAGCCTCATGTTTAAGCCTTAATGTAACATTAAATTTCTACTATATTTTCCAACATGTAGATGCACATCTGCAATCTAGTATGTTGAAGTAACCTACGATTCCCGTATCAGTTGAATGGCCTAGTCTCTTGCAACTTTGTGATGAATGATATTTTAACAAAATTTTCTTTGTTCACCTTTAAAGCTACTCGTCAGTATAATTGATATAGCGTGTTTTATGTAAATCGTCACTTTGAATATCACTATCGAAAGTTTATTCATCTCATCTAATGCATCTCACGGCCTTTTACACCCACAGATCTTATTACAGAATAGTTAATTAACCTACTAAGGATAGACCTTTTTCATAAGCATTGAAAATTCTGATTCGCCTGATCGGAATGATCTAAATGTGGTAGGGCCATGCAATAGCTTCTGCCGTTACATGAATTGGAAGCCTCGTCCTGGGAAGTACCATGGCCGAAGATGTTCAATGGATGACTGCCAAGACTTAAAAATTACGCTTCAAATAAAAAAAAAAAACTCTTTGGCACACCCAAACCGTTAGAGAAAAAAAAGGTTAAGCTCATATACCTTACCTATATGTGAGAATCAATTATTTTTCAGTTTGATAGATTATTTACGTGCTATGTTAATTCTATCCTGTCATGTGCAGTGAATTAAAGAGCTAGACGTAACACGTGAGCCACCCTTAGACCAAGTGTTATGTTCAGTTATACTTCCAGTGCTATAATGGCATGTCCTACTAGGTACACTTATTTACATTAAGATTCTGTGTTTACCTAGTTAAGGTTGAAGTCGTGATGGCTTGAACTAACGTTGAAAAAGAAGATTAATTATCAAGGATACATGTTAACAGAGATTTTGCATAGCGACCTTGGCTTTAATTTTGCCAACGACCATCGCTCACGTGCAATCTGATCCGTTTCCAAATTGGTGCCGTTACTTATAGTACTGGCTTTTATTTGCGACAGTTAATTTGTTTAAGGGTATTTACATTTTAACATGATGCCTCACGTTTATCTTTACCATGTTTTTGTTGTCTGTATCTGTCCACAAATATTCCGTAAGCTGGATTGATTGTTGAATTATTATCATCTATGAAAAATTACCAACCAAGAAGAAAAATATTTTCTATTATCACCAAAGAAGAGATAACTAAAAAGTATCAATAACTTCTCATTTTAATTCCAAACAGTTATTGATATATATATAATAAAATTTGTCATTGAATTATTTGAGTTCTGCTTACACACACAAAACACTTTAGAAGATTAATACTATTCTATATTAAACTAGTGGATATAGATTATAATTGAGTATTGTAGAAATAATCTAACACAATGTCACAGCATCGCAGTAAATGGTTTTAATACAGACGATGCAATATCTGATCAACTAAGATTAAAAACCACTACTGTTTTCAATGCTTTGGAAATAAGTACTGGTGTAATTTATCATCTTAAAAATAAAAGAAACTTGTGATAAAGAAGAGTAAATATATTCACAATAATAAAATTTGAGAGAACACAATCATTATATGAGCTAAGGAGTTAAAATGAACGGATCTTAATAATGATAGCCGGTCTGTTCGTCGAAGCTCTGCTGAGGAATGTTCTGGAAGTTCGAGGACTGCTTAGGTGTCAAATACTGGTTACTCAAACCCAACTGGGATTGAGATTCCTGTCCTTGCTGGTACTGGGATGAAGGTCTCTGGCTTCCAAATCCACTGTTGCTTCCGAACGCTGGTGTGCCATATTGGGTGCTGGGCGCTGAAATGTAAGAACAAGAGTGAAGAGGTTTTAAATTAAAAACTATAATAAATATCAAAACAGCGTAATGTTATTTCTTATCTAACACCCAAAGGGTATTCCTAAAAATGTTTTATAACCTACGTTAAATAAAATAAATCTCTAACCTTATTAAATTTCGTATAGTTTCGTTGTTTTAGTAAAACATTGCTCTTACTGTAGGATAATATTATCCTGTGTTGTAACGACCTTTTATATACATAAACGTGGACAAACACCAAGATTCTTAACAATTATCTGTGTGTGGGAATCGAACCCACGACCTCCGGCGCCGAAGCCAATTTTATTGGCAACCACGTAGTCAATAATCATATAAAAATCACAAGTCCTACAATATCAATTCGCAGTTCCTACAGTACACAGTAGTGACTGTTGCATAGTTACATTTATATTTCGTTTTTATATAATTTATATTTCGTTTTTATTTCATTTCTTTAGTTAAGTAAACAAATACATTTTTAGTAATAAAAACTAAAATGAACTTTAAATCTCACTCATTATATTTATAGGTAATAAATAATAGTATTTAATTAATAGGAGGTTCTTGATTTATCTCCAGTGACCAAGATCCAATACAAATAAAATAAATATGGGGATGGGTAATAAACATGCAGCCGAATTGAGAACATCCTCCTTTTTTGAAGTCGGTCAAATGTTTTCTCGCTAAGAAACATCACGAGATGACATTCAAAAATCATACCTCTGAAGGACGACAGTCCGTTACCGCCTAAACCGTTGGAGCCCGATGGTCCGTGGTTAGGTGGCAGGTACTGGTTTGATGTGGCGGAACCGAATCCGTTTCCGTTTCCGTTTCCGCTGGACGAGCCGAAGCCGTTTCCGCCGGACGAGCCGAAGCCGTTTCCGCTGGAGCGGAAACCGTGAGTCCCTGATCCGCCGTTCGACCCGATCCCTGAGGGACCACCGTTAGAGCCGAAAGCGTGAGAGCCTCCGCTGGACCCGAAAGCGCCGTGGGAGCCGCCGTTAGAACCGAAACCGCCAGCGCTGGACCCGAAAGAACTCTGTCCGTTGGAACCGAAGCCGTTCTGGCCGCGTCCGTTGCCGAAACCTAGGCTGTTACTGCTGTCTGGCGGTAGGTAGGAGCGCTCTAGATGTTCCAAGCGGCCAGCCGCGCAGGCGGCGATCAAACCGGCAACGATGATCTGAATGAAGGGTATGGAACAAGAGGAAATGATTAATGATGTTTATATATTTTGTACTAAGGCTTTACTTCACGTTCTACAATTTTAGGTCACCATTTCGTTGCGATAAGACTGTTTCAGTTACTTTTAAAGTAAAAAGTGTAGAATATAAATAAGAATTAATTTGATTTCAGAAATTCAATATTAAGACATTGTCTTTTAAATTATTTTAAAATTGAAAAATTCATTTAATTCTGCCCAGAAATACATAGGGGAATACAAAATTTGCCAATTTTATATCTTTATACTTTTCGAAAAAAATTCAAGAAAAATATCCAATAATGTAAATGAGAAAATCGTAAGTCAATTTTGGATTTAAATTAAAATTTTAAATATATTACCAGTTTCATTTTGGTTAGTGTTGTTGAGTTGCTGAGACGGTACTACCAAATGTGAAGCTCACACAAAACTGTGATTCTTTGAGACGAATTGACCCATTATATACCTGAACTGAACCTAATCCTGATCATCTCACGAGTGATGACGTAATGGCTCTATAGCGAAGATAATGAACATCTATATTCGAGTTATGATATGCATGGTCGGGTAATTAGTGACCATAGATTTTTTTCACCGCTGAGCGTGATACTACGACCTCGTCACGTCAAAGAAGTAATGTACGTTACCAAGGATACGGTATCGATTAATTTCAGCAATAGGATTTCCGTTCGAATCGATTTCATTATGAAAGCTGTCCGATCCGTTATCTTATTGTTTTGATCGCGTTAAATCGTGTTTTCGATTGTTAAGAGATGAATGGGACGCCATTAGCGGTAATGATTGCTTTTCGAAAGCTTTGTTACGGTAGCGGATTTTGCAAATATAAAGCGCGCTCGGTGCATTTTGTGGCTGTACCACCAAGCTTTAATTGAACTATCATATAGATTTGCTGGGTGTAATTTTTTTTAAATGCATTACTTTCGAGGGGGCTTGTAGTATTTAAAGGTCATAGTGGAAATGGTTAAGTTTCTGGATATTTGATTCTTCTTAAGACCGCGACAACTGCATGGCTTGGAATGAAGTTTATAATACAATTTTTTCATAATCAAGCAGCTTGTTCCCGGAATAACACTTGTGACATGTGTACTTAATTTGGTCACAAAATTTTTTGTTCCTACTTCAGGATAGAGAACGTGCTACGGTAACGATTTTTGCAAATGACATCTATCATTCGTAGGGATTTGCTAGTTTTAGTTTAAGTTTTATGAAACGTATCTAGACCCGGAATATCACTTAGTGCCTAGTAGCTCACTCAAAAAATTATCCCGTACCAAAAAGAAATTACTGGTTAGTTTAGCCTTCTCAACTACGTTAAATGCATTTTTTCTTAAAAAAAGCAAATGGTGATGTCCATTATAGGAGTTCGTAATAAAAGAGGAATCAATTTATTTTTTTACTTTTGTGAATGGGATTTTATTTAAAACTTTTATAACAAGTTGAAAAAAATACTAGTGAATATAACCTTTGTGGAAGTAGACTTAGTAAAACAGCAATTACCGTACTATTGATAAGAAACCAATAAGGATGATCTTACCACGTTATCATAAGTATATAAAAATCTTGTGATTGCTTTTTTTTCTTTTTTTGCAAATTTGTAATAAATGCACCTAGCTTAACTTTTCTGGACCACCCCACGGTTTACTTGGAGATACTGCTGATGGCATTAAGTCCGCCTTTGTACATAAATGTTTGTGCAGAAAGTTTAAATAAATAAATAAATAAATACATGTAAAAGTATTTACATATTTTATAAGTGCTTTATACGTGAGCACGAAATAGACAACGAACTATGTAATTATTTCTGTTTTTTTAATCGCTTTTTAATTTATTGTTGAAGCTGCGTTGGCCTATTTGCTGCAACACCGGTGTTACGATACTATGTCTTCTGGTTCAAATCCCGGTGGTGTGTACAAATTAATTTTTATTTATTTGACTCCAAACCAAAGGCCCTTCAGCAATACGTGTAAGACACATTTGGAATAAATAACCTTGGTGGAACATAAACGGATTATTTTATTATATTAACTGCCTATATCGGGCTAGATATGGATCTATTTGGGTTAGGTGAAATATTAAACATAAGAACAAATAAGCTTTTGCTAAGCAAATACGTTTACCACTTTAGACTAGGCAAACGGTAATCACTTATCAGCAGTGATAGCTCAGTGGGTATGGCGCTCGTTTTTTATTCAATATGCTCGAGCAACCAGAGTTCAAATCACGGTGCTGGCTCGCCGGTCTTCCACCCTGCCCTACTACCATGCTATCTTGTCTTCTTATACTACTACTATTTTTTTTTAATTTACTATTATAAAATCATAAGTATTTTTCGGTTATACTTTAGAATGCGTGGAATAATTCAATTTATATCGCAGAAATTTCGTCTTGTGCTTAAAGTTTTAGTTATCTAAGGCAGATTCAATATGTACTATTTTACTTTGAATGGGCTGGCTCGTCCGGGTAAGTACCACGACCTCACAGAAGACCGGAGTAAAGTGGAAGTATAATACTTTCGCGTTTCGTCTGGTGAGTGAGGAGGCCGGAGCCCAATTTTCAAAAGGTTGTCAACGCATCTGTAACCCTCGGGTGTAGCAGATGTCCATGGGCGGCGGTATTCACTTACCATCAGGTGAACCGTCTGCTCGTTTGGCAACTTTTCACATAAAATAAAAAAAAATAAAAAAATAGTTGCCGCTGCGTGGCCCTACCATAGACGAAATATTGATATGAGAATTGATTCCTTGTAAAATGTGTTATAAAACTGTGAAGAGCTAATTAAATAGGAACTGTTGTAGCTCAATGTCTAAGTGCTCGCTGGATTTAAGCAATCTCACATCAAATCAACGAAAAAGTAAGGTTTCCGCCTATATGAGTCCCACCGCTGGGCAAATTCATCCTCTGTACAGAGTGTATTAGGGCATAGTGAACCACGCGACCCCAATATGCTGGTTTCTTCGTAATGTTTTCCATAACCGTTGAGTACGTGATAAGTCAGCACTTATAATTAACAATTTCATTAATGAAACTGTAGCGATTTAAGTTAATGATTAGGTGCACGGTGGTGTAGGACAACATCATGGGGTATTCGGCCTATCATGTTTTTACTCTAGTAAGGCCACGAATCAGACTTGTCACAAATGAGTAGGTCCGTCCGAGGAAGTACCAAGACCTCGCAGAAGACCGGCGTTAAGTGTTATACTTCTGCGTTTAATCTGGTGAGTGACGTAGCCGGGGCCCGCTTTATTGAAAGGTGACAACGCATTTATACTCCTGCGCTTATTGCAAATGTACAGTGGCGCTTGTTATCAATTAACATTAGGTGTACCTCCAGATCGTTTCCCATCTTCTAACATAAAAAACCAGCCCAGTATAGCGGCGACAGAAATATATCATCTGTGAAAATTTAAACTGTCTTACTATCACAATTCATGAGATACAGCCTGGTGACAGACGGACAGAATTGTCCCATTCGAGCGTGGTCTCTCGCAACGGCGAATTTCGCAACGATCAATATTCGAAACAATACGCTCTCTTAGGATATACGCTACCGTTCGGTAACATAATACACACCTTTTGGTTCGTATCGCTTGACGAATATAATATTACAATACTTCACGTAGAATTCGATCACGCCCGACACGGCCGAATCGTTTCGCACGAACGCAAAGTTGCGCTCACGAATCCGCGGACTTCGAAAAAAAATCCGCTAACGATCTTTTGGAACGTGAACCTTATAAGTTACGTTTAATGATCAAAAAACGAGCGAATATATCTGTCCCGTTGCCAGTAAGGAGCTCGTTTGGAGTAAGGACACAGCGTCGTTATGGGGTTTCGAAGGCTTTATGATATTGCTGGTCTCTTTTATTATTATTTTTATATTAGGCATAGGTTAGCGAGCTTTTCATTTGATGGTGAGCTATTAATTCTTCGATATATACATTTTTTACACGCAGTATACATACAAGATATGTATACTGCGTGTAAAAAAATGTGGGCCCTCGCTTATTTCATTCCTCGAGAGAAACGCAAATGAGAGAGGTATATTATTACTTTGTCTATTACATCTAAAACCTAACCTAGATACATCAACAATCATAAAAAATAACGTGGAACAAAGCCTACTTCTACTTATTTTCCTATTACTACATTATTATAAAAATTTTACTACTAATGTAGGATTACACAATCTTCTTTTAAAGAGTCGTTTTACAAATTATACGAGGACATACATCGAGATCCGGAACAATTACAGAAAAGGTACAATTAACTAAGCGCTGTAGAAGATGTCTATGGGCGGCGGTTATCACTTAACATAAGGTGACCGCCTGTTCGTTTGTCAACTTTCAACATAAAAAAAGAATTGAGTAATATTAATATTATTAATATGTAAATTAATAATATTTCTTTTATATTATGTTGAGTTACGGAGTCACTTTATTTAAAGGTGGCAACGCCCACTTTATTTAAAGGTGGCAACGCTCGTAACCCTACGGGTGTTTCAAATGTCCATGGGCGTCGGTTGTCTCTTAATGTCACGTGAACCGCCAGCTCGTTTGCCACATTGTCACATAAAAAAAACATCTTTCACCTCCTCGATAAAAGAAAAATGTTCTGTAACGGGCCACTGGGTTTTGAACTTTTTAGATGACTTACATTAAATTATTAGTTTGGAATGGAATCCGCTAGAAAGCATGTTGCTTGACAACCAACTGAGTCATTGCAGGTTGTCATCATTGGAAGGTAGCGAGGCAAACTCATCGAAACATCTTATTGAAAATGGAGTAACACTCCCTTAGAAGCTCCACTGTCACGATTTATACATGATAATAATATATAATGGCTCCGGAATCGTGAACTAAGCTCTAACGCAAACTTAACCAGACACGAAGAGCCAAATGTTGCACCCAACCGTTTGCACTCCATTCGTCTTAACCGCGTAACACTTTTGTTAAGTAAATTTATTCATTTGCGAAATCAATACTACCCATATCACTGAAACACTCCGTGCTGTTGGTATACGAGTTTTGTATACATAAACACCGAGATTGGGAAGGAACATCTTCGCATAAAGGACCAGGTTACACAACGTTCTATTTCTCGGATTTCTTATGTGTGCCAAATGGTGAACGATAATCTCAGCCTTAGTTGCATGTTTATAGATGAAAGTAATTTTACGGATTTATCGCGTTTATTTTTAATTTATATCCCGACGTTTCGAACCCTTTACAGCGTTCATGGTCACGGGACAGACTGAGGTGTTAGACGATTGTCAAAGTTAACCCGGGCTACCGTCAGTTTTTGTATTATTGATTTTGTATTATTTAGTTTGTGTCCGATCTATGCAGAAATC